CCTTAATCTTTTTCCCATTGGATACTCTTTCCTGCTTTGTTGAAGATTAGTTGGCCATATAGTTGTGGGTCCATTTCTAGGTTCTCTATTCTGCTCCATTGATCTATGTGTCTGTTTTTGTGCCAGTACCACACTGTCTTGATCACTATGGCTTTGTCATATAGTTTAAAGGCTGGAATTGTGATGCCTCCAGCTTTGCTTTGCTTTTTCAGGATTACTTTGATTATTCGAGGTCTTTTGTGGTTCCATACAAATTTTAGGAATGTTTTTTCCAGTTCTGTGGAAAATGCTGTTGGTATTTTGATAGGAATTGCATTACATGTGTAGATTGCTTTGGGTCATAGAGACATTTTAATAATATTTTTTCTCTCAATCCATGAGCATAGAATGTCTTTCTATTTCTTTGTGTCATCTTCAAATGCCTTTTTAAAAATTGACCTTTCATGGATGATACTTTTGAATCCAGATCCAAACAAGGTCCATCCATTGCTTTGGTGGTTCTGTCTCTTCATCGACAAGAGCCCTACCTCTCTGTCCCCTGCTCTTGTCTGGTGCAGAGGCCAGGACATCTGTCCTGCAGGATGTCCCAAGCCAACTCTTTCCTCCTGGTGTCATTTAATCTGTTCCATCTCTCTTTTTAATTGCCAAGAGATCAGAATGAATTTGCATTCAGCTTTGGTTTTTGTGTGATTCCTTGGATCGCATGTGTGCGCGCGCGCGTGTGTGTGTGTGTGTGTGTGAGAGAGAGAGAGAGAGAGAGAGAGAGAGAGAGAAAATGTGTGCTAATGTCAGTGGTGGCTGGATGTTGCTGGGTACTTCCCACTGCATCTCACAAGGAGACACTGGAGGCCCAGCTGCTCTGCTTTTTAGTGATGTTGGATCTGTCCCAGAGTCTGGGAAGTGGCAGCCTGGAAGGTTTGGAGGATGTTATTTACACATCCCTGAGTCTTGGTTTCCTCATCATAAGAAAGGAGATAATACCTCTTCCCCAAGAAGATTCCTGTGGTTACAGATGGGGATGCACTCCCAAACTGCGTGCTGCCACGCAGATGTCAGGTGTCAATAATTATGGTCCTTTTGGCAATTAAAATTTTCTTTGAGAAAGCATTTTCTTTCCTCAGATACCTTTAATTGAGAATATGGTAAGGCTCTTTTTTATTGAAAAAAAATCTTCCAGTACATTTGTGAAGACTGAAAACCACCAGCTTTTCACCAACAGACAGAGCGAAGAAGTGATTAACTCCTCGCAGATTCTGGGCACTTGAAACTGAGCAAAAGATTAGCGATGCCCATGTAGAGCAGAGGTTTGTTTAATAGCCTGACTGGGGAAGACTAAAATTCCTTAGGCTTCTAGATCAGAGGAGCAAGAGGCATCTCTGAAGGCGAGGAAAAAAGCTATTGAAACTTTTATGGGATGGTTTCCTTTATCAGAAGAATCTTCCACATTCCAGCCCCTCTGACAACAAGCATCTTGTAGAACTCCTTTCTGAGGACCAGGAGGAAAATCTTTTAAAGGGAACAGGAACAGACTTGCTATTTAAATTTTAACAGTTCTCAGCAAGCTTGCAGTTCAGAGGCTTGTGAATGAGCCAATCCTTCCCAAACCACTTTAAAAAAAAAATACAAATCAGAGTGCCCGTGAGATGGATCGAGTTCATTTGTATTAGTTTTCGGTTTAATCTCTCTTCCGGCCAGACCTTTTATCTTCTAGTAGAGAGTGGGAAAAGAATGAATAAAGAGCTCTGTGGATGCATCCGGAGGACTGAATGGAGTCCCAGGTCCAGGGCAGAGGAACAGACCCTGTTGCCAAGTCAGACTGGGCAGCTGATCCCACTGCTCGGGTTACACACTCTGAGTCCCACCAGGCAGCACCTGGGAGGGAGGGCGCTGGAAGCAGGAAAGGCGGCGGCAGGTGCTGACCCTCACTGTCTCCATCTGTGGGCTCTGCCACTGTCCTGACCTTGCAGTCATATACTCTGTACCTGGCTGAGCAGGTGAGCCATTCGCTTACAAACCCTGAGACCTGCAGAAAGAGAGGGACGGAAGGTAAGTTTTATTAAGCACTGCCATTAGTCGGGGTCCCCCCAGGAAGCAAGTGGCACTCTTAAATTAGAACAGTCGAGGCGCTATAGCTAGCTGGCTCAGGACACGCAGGCAAGGGGAATTGCAAAGCCCAGAGGGAGAGAGGGAGAGGTGGTGTGGCGCTGCCCCCATGAGAAGAGCGAGAACCGCTTGGTGAAGAATGAGATAGTCCGGGGCCCCTGAGTAGTGAGGAAGACAGAGCCCCTGCCCTGCCAGGCAGGCCGTCCAGGGCATAGAACAGGGTGGGGAGGCAGCAAGGGATGAGGGGCCGTGGAAGACAGACAGGCCTCTCCAGCACAGATACCCACCATGAGCCAGGCTTTGCGCTGATGTGTCAGCACACAGCTCTTACTTCAGACAATGACGGTCTCAGAAGCTATACGTTATTTCCCTGGTTTGTCACCATTGAAGAAAATGTGTCATTGTGATAATATACACATAACATAAAATGGACCATCTTAACCATTTTTAAATGTACAGTTAAGTGGTGTATATTCACATTATGCCACCAGTCCAGAATTCTTATCTGGCAAACTGAAACCCTGAGTCTACTACATGTGACTCCCCACCTCCCGTTCCCCCCACTCCTGGCTCTGTGTCTGTGGGTCTGACTCCTCCAGGGACCTCCTGTAAGTGGAATTCTATACTACTTGTCCTTTTGTGATGGCCTTATTTTCAAGGTTTAACCCTGTTGTGGGTGTGGGTGTCAATTTTTTCTTTTTCAAAGCTGAATACTATTCCACTGTATGGGTGGACCACAGTTTGTTCATCCATCTGTCCGTTGATGGACACCTGGGGGTGCTTCCACCTTTTGGTTGTTACAAATAATGCTGTTATGAACATGAGTTCATACCAAGTATCTCTTTGAGACCCTCCTTTCAGTTCTTCAGGGTATATATTTTGAAGTAGAATTGTCGAATCATATGGTAGTTCTATTTTTAGCTTCTTGAGGAGCCTCCATACTGGTTTCTGCAGCGGCCGCACCATTTCACATCCCCACCAACAGTGCACAAAGGGCTCCAGCTTCTCTACATCCTTGCCCACACATGCCATTTTCTTCTTTTATAGTAGTCATCCCAATGCTCGTGATGTGGATCTCATTGTGGTTTTGACTTGCTTCCCCTTTATAGACGTGCTCAAACAAAAGTTAACAACTGTAAGTGGAAGAGCTGTAGCCAACTGTGACTACTCTGTATCTGTTGTATTCAGAATGAAAACCATCTCTATGAAGTGTGACTTGGCGGGGAGAAGCACTGCTCCCCACCAACCAGTTACATTGATATGAAGGAAGGCTCTTGCATTATCTATGTGGACAAATGGCTCTTTCCTGTAGGGGAGCATGCTTAGCAAACCAAATCGCCATGAGCTATTTGATGCTTCTAGAAGGGTCTCAGACTCCCAGAGCAAAAAGAGAAATTGGTGTGAGTTTTTCCATAGTTAATTGGGGATGCACGCATTGCACTTTTAAGGAAACATGAAGAGCGGGGGGATCCTCATCAACCGTAGATTACTTATACCACTGAAAATCAAAAGCCAAGAACACTGAAATGCCCAGCTGGTGGTGAGGACTGCATTCCCAGAAAGCCATTTTTGGAAGCAGCTTTATTTGAAATAATTAAAAAGATTCAGCCTTTGTAGCCCAACTGGCATCATGCTCCAGAACAGCATAACTTTTTGTCGAGGAATCCAGCTAACAAACTCCAATTTGGTGATAGACGGCTCTGTATGATAGCCAATACGAGTTGCTCTTGAGAGTCTCATTTCATTTCGTAGCACTTTGTGGATACGTCTTTGTGACTCATAAGGAAGCAGAGTGCATTTCTGATGAGCTCCTGGCACAGTCTTGTGAATCCTCAGTTGGGTCTTTAGGTTTTTGCCAAAGTGGCAGTGATTTTGTGTGTGGAGGGTGCCCATTGCATTGTCTGCAATCTGAGCATTGCCCAACACCATAGTGGAAATCATGCATCTCCTCATTACTGACCATCTCCGATGTGGGTGAAAGGGATTTTAGCACCACGTCCAAAGAATGAGACAGACAGTCTGATTTCCACAAGAACCCCCCAATTTCACTTCACTGATAACTTGAAAATGCAGTTCAGGCATCATGACAATTCCAAATGAGAAGTGACTGTGGGTGTTCAAAGTCATTGCCAGGTCTTGTTCATTCCAGGGCATCATTCTATGAAATGATCAGGCCAAAAAGCATGTTTAAACTCTGGGAAAAAAAAAAAATCCCACCAAGGTGTAGGAGCCCAGCAGAATCCTCTGAAGCTTTGCATGCGAGAGCCCATTTGGCTGGCAGAGCCGCTCTTCCACACCTGCCGGAAAGCTGGGTGCAAAGATATTCTAAACTAGCTGTGAATTTCATTACGTCTCTCTCCAGCCAAAGCCACTCAGGGTGCGGTGCTGTAATGGGCCGCCACGCAGATGGGTTGCAAAATGCACAGCCCATCTGTCTTTATCATGCTCATTTCCTCTTTTATTAAAATGTTAATGAATATAGTTTTTATTTATCATTTGGTGACATGTGCGGCATCCTTTTCTGGGAGACAAATCTGCAATCTGCCTAACCGTGTGAGTTGACAGAGAACACGGGAATGAGGAATATTTTGGTTCCATTCAAAGTGTTGTAGGCAGGTTGAAGGAACAGTTCCTTTACTTGCTGACAGCAGCATGAGGATGACAGGAGGTACACTGAACTTGAGGTGGACGCCCAAGTTTAAAGGCAGGCCCAGGGGCTACCGGGCACTAGCCACGTGGCCACGAGTTTTGGTTTCCACGTCTGTTAAATGGGGACCACCGCTCCATTTGCCCAGGAAAACCAAAGAGAGAACTTATGGGAATGTATTTTGCATTCCCTTATTGTCATTCAGACATGTGCTGATATGATTCTGAATTCGTTTTACTCATTCTTTCAGACTCTCCATGGAAAGTACATCTGTCAAATGTCGGCCCTGAGATGACAGGCGTCACCGTGCGTGGACTGACTCCAGCTCGCACCTATCAATTCAGGGTGTGTGCTGTGAATCAAGTGGGCAGGGGCCAGTACAGCGCAGAGACAAGCAGGTGTGTGATGGTGTAGCCCTCGGCACCGATGAGGGGGAGCATGGGCCTGAAAGCGAAACCGTGCATCCAGTCAGGAGGAGGAGCTTGATCGAAGTAATCAACCTCCATCCCTTGGATATGGGCAGAATTGTGTGCAGGAAAGGCTGTAATGAAGAGAGAAACACAGTCGCTCATGTGTTGGGCTACCTGGGTTTTCCTTAATTGCTCTGAGGGAAGTCTGTGCTGACACCAAGTGTTCCTGAGAGCAGAGCCCCCTGTACACATGAAATGAGGAGCTGACAGTGTTTTCATGCCCTCTCTCCACCCTGACTGCCAGCAGGATGGGAGCGGGTGCCACCATCCTGACAGGCAAACACCGAGCAGGGTTCAGTGCCTTCTGTGCGGTCCCCATACTCCCCCAGCCCTGGGGTGGCTGCTGGAAAGCCCATTTAGATGTGACCTGGTGCTCCAGTTTGCCCTCCCAACCGACCTGAGCATTCACTGGACCTGAGTTGTGGCATAGTTGGGATCCAGAGGACTTTTTTTCAAAATGTGGGAGTTTGAGATGAGAAATAGTGAAAGAGCCAAATAAAAAATAATTTGAAAGGAGTCTCAGGCTATGGACCTGCAGCCTGGCTCACTCAGGCTTGTAATCCCTTTAGGACTGGGGGTGCTATGGGTTATCTAGACAGAACAAGGTCACCTCCTGTATCTTCCTGTTGCTGGCTTAACTGATTCTCTATTATGTTGATTTGCTGTACCTATTTCATGCATGTCCTTTGAGTTTGATCAGCTGTGTGCTTTTCTTTATTTATCGCTTGATTTTGATAAATCATTAGGCCCCAGATTCAGCCAGAGATGGCAACTGGGGACCATTTGTATCGGGTGCTGATCTCTCTTTCTCTCCTCCTGTTTTATTTCTAGGTTGATGTTACCTGAAGAGCCACCCAGTGCTCCCCCAAAGAATATCGTGGCCAGTGGGCGTACCAATCAGTCCATCATGGTCCAGTGGCAGCCGCCCCCAGAAACAGAGCACAATGGGGTGCTGCGTGGGTACATCCTCAGGCAAGTAACCTGTGTTTGGCCATTTTTAGACTGTCATTATAAAAAGTCAGGGGTCTGTTTCGCTGGGGTCACAAACTCAAAGGTCTCTAGGAGCCCAACAGTCATCAAGAGAATCTGGCCAGTGTCAGATTCTAGGGAGTGGTAGAGACTATGACAAACAAGTGACCATGGGCAGCCTTGCAGGGGTGGCCTCTTCATATCCAACCATAGCATGTCCATGTAAGTATCAAAGGTTACATTGTGGTAGAAGAATGAAGAGAGATATTATGAGGTGGTGTCAAGGTGTGCTATTCATTCTCTTTTCTTTGTTTCCTTTTTTTTAAACCAGGGGCATGCATTATTAATAGAGTAATTTTTAATTAATAATAATGCAGTTGATTTCATTATTAACCAGTTGTTACCATGCTAGCTACTATGTTGTTCAGTGTTGCCAGGTTTTCTAATGTTTCAAAGAAATTTTCAAAAATCTAGCTTTCTACATGTGACCTCACAGTCTTTAAATGTTGGAAATGAAGTCAGTACGTTTGGAAACATTGGGCAGGCCAAAATCACACATCAAAGGCCAAATAAGGCCCAAAGGATGGCCAGTTTGCTTTCTCTGCCTTATAAGAGGTAGTCAGGCTTCTAAGAATGTTGTGGGGACTCTACAAGAACTTGACTGGGTTGGAAAGAAGAATCTGTTTCGCCAAAACTACTGCTACTCTTGAAATTTCACCACATGTGATAATTACAGTGGTTTTTGACACAAGTAGTGAACAGGAAAAAGCAAAGCGATATTAAAGGGTACTTAGGAAATCTCTTCTAACAGATGGGATAGCCATGGACATATTCATTCATCGACATGCACTTTGTCTCCCTCCCCAGCCTTATGGGGTGAGAACTGTGGGTGTCCCATCACTATCTTCCTCCCAGTGCCTGGCCCATGCCCATTCTGAGCATGTGATCAGAAAATACTGGGTTAACAAAGGTTTAAAGTAGCTAAATGTAATGTCTTAGACAAATGTGAAAAGTTATAGAAGTGTAGCTTCTTTAGCTCTGTTCTCTTTGCATATGGAGGACTGCTCCTTCCAGTATCTACTGCTATAATCATCTACTCGTCATTTAACACACCTTTTTCCACATATACGTCATATTAGCCCATCACAACCACTTAACTGCTATTCTTGGGTCTTCCACAAGCATGTGGATTCTCCTCTAATTATGCACCTGAAGTGGTTTAAATGTGACCATCCCTAGGGGTACACAGTGGCTGGAGCACTCAGGGCCCCTTTGGTCACTCTGCCCCCCAAGTGTCCTCTCTGCTTTCAACAAGAGACTATGATCTGACCTTTATGGGCTCAGGGCAGTTCTCAGCCTCCAGAAGACGGGCTGGGGCTTCCCACTGCCATAGGCCCTGATTTCCTGTCCCTGTGTGCTGCTTGCCCCTCACTCCAGTTGTCACTCTTGTCCCAAGCTTGTTAGCTAATGAAAATAATTTCCTTGCCCTCCCTTCCCAGCCCTACACACACTTGTCATCCCGGCTGACTTTGTCTTTTCTTGAGCACACAGAGAAGGTTCCTCATGCTCCAGACTCCAAGTAAGGACTTTAAAAGTCAGCCTGCAGAACCAAGCTCGGGGTGAGGAGTTTAATAATAAAATCTCTCTGATGTTACAAGGCCCCATCAGGAACTGCACGTTTCTCTATTTTGTGGGATTATCACTGTTAAAAGGATTTTCTGTGATGGTGTCAGTAGAGTCGAGTGCTAGGAAAGAGGGTGTCTGTATATGTAGGGTTTTAAATCAAGAAAGTCCTAAAATGAGTGTGCACTAACCCAAGGCCTGTGAATATCAAAGTTTTCAGAAATTAAAGACCCATGCCAAAATGAATTTGCTTGGAAACATTTCCAAATAATCCTCCGGCCTGCAAATCAGCACTGTTTGTAAGTGTGTATCCTCCAGGGCACAAGCCTCTGTGTCAGATGTACAGCAGAATCCACGGAAGAACAAAATGGAAATAAATCATCATCGTGGCTCCAGCCATAAGAAGTAGTTAGGATGTGTGCACAGTCATAAAATATTTATAATAATGGGCAGGGTGCTTCTTTGAGAGGAGCATAGGGGTTATGTCCTTTAAAAACATTCTCCTGTTTATTTCCATATAAAAAAAATCATCTTGTTCTGTCTAAGACAGTCTCCCGGGCAACATATCCTACCAGTCAGAGGATGATGCCCTGCACTTTCATTATTAACTGTGACCTTCCCAGACATCCTGTGACTATTACAAAAGCACCCTGAGCCATGGGTCAGAGTGGACCAGCCTGCCTGCTGTATACAGAAAGGAAGGCAGCCTGTTTCCAAGACATGAATCCCAGGGTTTGTTTTGCATGATCGTATGAACGGAGGTCTAGGAAAGGATACGGCTCATGCAGGCTTGGTTTCTTCACTTAGCATACTTCCTAGATGAGATGTGTTTTCAAACCATAAATATTTACAGGGTGCATTACACGGTCACATCTCTTTGGCACCCAATGTTTGATTTTATTCTTGTGACAATCCTGTGAAAGGCCATTATGATTCTGTCGTTTTGGAGAGTTAAAAACCAAGGCTCAGAGAAATTAAAGCTTTACTGGAGGCCACCTAGTTCATCAGTCTTCTTCCCAACCTAAGCTTTTTGAAGCCAACTTCTCTGCTTTTCCTTGGAATGTGTACTGGGTAGTGATGAGTCCACACTAATGAGCTCTTCGTAAGCGATCTTGCCCAGTATGTACCATATTGGTCCTAAGTGGTCTTGGGTGCCATTCATATGCAGATAACCTTGGTGCCCCTGTGGGAGTGGGGCCGATCCTTGCCTTCTTCCAAATGGCTGTCTCATTGTCGCAGTGCCATTTATTTTGCAGACGGGGAATTTAAGTGGGAATATCTGCCATATGAGTTATTCGATGAGAGGCCTCTCTCCCTGTGGGCTGCTGCCTTGAAAACCATGATGTCGTATAAACAAGCTGAACCGCTGCTAGGAAGTGCACCCACACTTGCTTGGTGCAGGCCGTTCAGTAAAGGAATGTCAGTTCAGTAGGTGTCAGCAGTGGATGGAATATGAAGCAACAAAGCGGTGTGAGGCATTAGCTTGCGTTGTTGCCAAAGAGGAGCATGTCCTTCCCCCACACCTCCCACCAGGCAAGCTGCTACCACCTTGAGGCAGGAGATATGAGGAGGCCTGGGACCTGCCTGCTCTTCCATGCTGCCCGCTCCTGATCATGTGTTTCTCCCACCACACAGACCTCACCTGTACAAATGGTCTGTAGCAAGAGGAGGTGAAAGACTGCCTTCAGAAAATCTGGATTTCCGTGAAGAACCTTTTATTGCCTTCTCCATGCTTCCATACCATATTTTCAGCTGTCATTCTCTTCAGAGAGCTGTTTTCCATTGGAAGGCCTGAGTTTAGGGGTTCCTTCTTTCTCCTAATGGCAGCAGCCATGCTCGCCTTCACCTTTGTGCTGGAGACCCCACCTGGGATGGGCCAGACTCTGCAGCCCGCGGTGCTGCTCAGTGTCAGTGGGGATCCCTACCCCCACCCGCTGTCAAGAGTCCCCTCACTCAGGGTTCCCCCCATTTCCACTCCTCCCCACTCATCAGACAAAGCCACGTCTTCCCAAAGCCACTTCCCAGGGCAAGAGTCACTTCATGGCCAGGATTTGGGTGCTTTTGAAGCTCCATGATAACCAAGGCAGTTACTCCCAGCACATACCCCTTGCCCTGTCCTGGGAAACCAATTCACTTCTAACAACAAAATCAGAAAAACCGTTTGCTATCCCAAATAGTGCTGCAAAAGTTCTTTTGTAGTGTACATGGCAATTTCTTAAATTATACATTTTCTCAGTCTAGAGTCCTGTACATCACTTTTAAAATAAATACAACTTTAAACTTATGTCTTTTGTGGGGAGGGGGGGTTGTTTATTCTACATGTTTCCTTTTTTACATCGAAGTAAAATTGGCATATAACACTGTGTGTCAGGTGTACACCATAATAATTCCACTTTGTTACACTGCAAAGTGATTGCCATGCCAAGTCTGGCCACTGCCTGTCACCATACAGTTGTCCTCTTCACCCATTTTGTCTGCAAAGATCCCCTAAAGAGCAGCTTGGCCTACTTAGCACTGGACCAGTATTTCAGAGGTGGGGACACCACGTAGAGCCACTCATTTTGGTTCTGGGACTTGTGTGAACAAATCTAGAACCCCCAGATGGAAGAGGAGGCCAAGAGGCAGGAGACCACAGCTTTTCTGCTTCTCCTCACATTTCAGAGCCACAGGAGAAAAGTGTGCTCCCAAGTTGTCATTTATGGCAGCACCCAGGCAGAAATCATGTCTGGGATTTTTGGTACTAAGTCACCGTGCTCCCCGGATGAGCTACACTTAAAAAGCTATCCTTTCTCCTTAACCATTACACTGTTGAGATGTCAGTTCCATTTTGCCCAGAGCTTATAATCTCTGTGAGATTCAACGACACCTCTTTGGAATGGTTGGCTTAGGAAGCCATGTGGTCTGGGGCTGAGCTCTGGCTTCACTCCTGTGTGTTCACTTCCTTTCCCTCTGACCATGCAGCAGAACTGTGGGTACGCCCAATCCCTGATTCCAACTATTTCTCCATGCTCTGTTGCAGGTACCGCCTGGCTGGCCTGCCAGGAGAGCACCAGCAGCGCAACATCACCAGCCCAGAAGTCAACTACTGCCTGGTGACAGAGCTGATCATCTGGACGCAGTATGAAATCCAGGTGGCAGCCTACAACGGGGCAGGCCTGGGCGTCTTCAGCAGGGCCGTGACCGAGTACACCCTACAAGGAGGTGAGTTTGCCTTCCTGCCATGTTGGCCGATCTTTGCTGGGGAGTAGGACACACTACGTTTGACTAGAGCATATAAGAAATAAAAATCAAAGAGCTCGAGCCTCTAGGGAACAATTAGAAGGAAACTCATCAACTATGTAACTCAATATCTCTGTCCCTAAACTATGGCAATACTGTGGAAGGGACACAGAGAACATTCTATCTGCTTTCTTCTGGGTACTAAGGCCAGGAACTGTCTACTTGAAAAGATCTGTGCAACTACCTGTTTCTGAATGGAATGATGGTATATTCCATCAGGAGTCCCGAGGATACTATGAATGTTTTTCAAAGAGAATGGTTATTTGGAATTTTGTCTTTAGTAATGCACTATGATTATTGGTAAAGGATTTTGCAACTTGGTACTTTTTTTTTGTTTGTTTTCTTTTTCAGTTACACAAGCCAAACAATTTACTAAATCAGTAAAAAAAAAACCTGTCCCCACACTCACCGCCCCCTCCAAAAATGACCAGGCAGTCCTAAAGCCAGTGGGGCCTACCTTCTGTGTTACGACCCAACCTCATCATTTGAAGACCGATCCCCCTCTGTGTTCTGGAGGACCTGGGTCTCAGCCACAGGGAGAGCTGGTGTCCCCAAACACATTTCGCTGTTGGTACCATCAACAGGAATAGACGGACCCTGTCATGGCATAGCTATGTGTGCCCACAGCACCGAGGTCCTCGTCCAGGGAAGCCGTCTCCCCACAAAATCGACAACTTCTTTCATTCAGCAGTTTTAGCCTCTTCTGACTCACAGGTGTGAGTTTATTTGCGTAGGCATTTTTATTGCCGCCAGGCCTTGACCTTCTTCAAATGATAAGGTTTCTAATTGCCCACTTCTCTCCCCAAATCATGCCAGAGACCTAATGTTCCTTGATATTACATACTGTTATCATCACCCCTTATCGATTGGCTGTCTGTCATCATCCCTAAGTCCATAAAGTCTCCTTTATAAATGAAGCACAGTCAGTTCTGCTTCCATAGTGAAATATTTCACTGGCAGAAATATTTAAAATGCAAGACAGCCAGGGATGACCCACTCATCTGCACATGAGGCTTGATTACTCACAGAAAAATGGAGGCAGCTGAGCACCTGGACAATTAATGTTTGCTTTAATTCATCTACTTAATAAAATAACAATAAATTTGGAAATAATTAAAATAATGAATATTGCTATTTACACTCCCCTATTGCTGTTAACTCAAACCGCTTCATTTTAGTACTGGTGAGTTTGAGTCCCATGCAGAGTGCAGGGAAGTACATCTCCACCTTGCAGAGAAGGGCTTGCAGCCTTAGAATTTGGTTTTGACTCGATTGGCACTGGGGAGCCGTTAAAGGTTGAGAGCAGTGAGTGACGGGAGCAAAATGCTGTACAAGGAGGCCAAACCTGTCAGTGGGCTTGCAGGTGAGCTGAGGGGGAGCCCCAGCAACCACAGTGACCCAGGCCAAAGGGCAATGATTGGGCCATGAATTGATGAGTTCCCTGCAGCTCTGATGCTGGCCATGAGAAGGGTGGGTTGGTATATTGGGTGGTGCGTCATCGTTTTGAAACTAGCTTTCCCTCTGTTCCCTCTGAGCACCTCTCAACAGCCTGTCCTAGGAGGGCAGACAAGCCCCGCACTCCCACTGTGCCCTGTCCTGGGCCTGGGCATGAGAACTGCTGGGGCCCAGCCCTGGCCTCGAATTGCTGGCAGGTACAGGCTAGAACAGGGCAGGCTTGCTTGCAGCCACTTACACATCAGGGAACCAAACCCTGGCTAGCTCAAACTTAGCTGGTGTGAAATGACGGGGTGCACGGGGCTAGGCAGAGGTGACAGGTGTGCGGGCTCCCCACTCTGGGTCAGGGCATCCGCCTGATGGGGAGGCTAACTACAGATGCTTCCGCTCAGTGGAAGGATCTGCTTTCCTCCTCTAGGTGAGCCCCTGACTTCTGTTAGCTCTCTGCACAAGTATGGTTCATAATATTGCTCTTTTAAAAAAAAAAAAAAAACTATTGATGAACTGACATCCCTGAATGATGCCCAGTGTGTGGATTTTCCTGTCCATAGCTCAGTTTATGCAGCTCAGCTATCTTTCCTTTGTCTGGGCATTGCATGGCTGACATTGGAGCACTGAGCCTGGAGCCCCAGCAGGTTGCAGGTGCACCCAGGGGACATGGTCATAATTCACATTCTCCTTCAATGCAGGCATTTCTGCTTTGACATTCCCTCCTAACCTTGGGGTGGCCTCAGGAAACATGGGTGTCTTTGTCCTCCATCTGGGGGGACACATCCCTTTCCTCTGCCCGTGTTTTAGACTCTTCCTGTGCACTCACATGACTGTAAGGTCTGTGGGAAAAATACCCTGGGCTTCTGGAATGCAGTGGGTCATTTCATGGCTGTTTCCAGACTGCCCTACACCTAATCCTACACCCGTCCCTTGGTCACTCAACAGAGCTTCTCAGGCTTGTGACAGCCTCTGAGTCTTGACCAGGATGCATGGCCCACCCTGACCCTCCTTTGTTTGAGGGGCAAACCTGAGCCCCAGGACAAATTGGGAGTGAGACCTTTGTTGACCACAGCATTGGGATACTGTCCCTTGGGCATGGCTGTGGCACGTGACAGGTGTTGGGAGGGGTACGTCTATGGGGGAGGCAGCCGGCCTCCCAGCATGACATGCACTCACACGGCGCTGGCCCAGCCCTGCTCCTCTGGAGCATCCTGGTCAACCACCCACAGCTGAACAGAGGGGACCCGGCTTGTAAATTCTGTCTCTGAACCAATGTTCCTACCCCAGACAGGACACAAATAAGAGGATTTAGACATGTGGTTGGGAAGAACTGGAGAGCAGGGGTAGGGGCCTAGTCTGGAGCAGGGGTGGAATAAACCAGATAAAAAATGATCTGATTAGAAGGTGAGGCATTAGGAAGAAAAATGGCAACAGCAGGAGCCCTGAATAATTTAGGGATATGGTGATAGAGAGCATAGGTTTGTGAGATGTCTTCCTGCACCCACTCTCACCCACATCTATCCAGACACAGCCCTGTCCTGCTAGTCTGTCAGGGTCAGGCTTAACATTTGCTACTTATCTGCTTTCAAAAAACACATCAACCTTTGTGAGCCTCGCATTCCCCACTATAAAATGATCGTCTGTAGCGGTGTCTGCCCTGACTCCTCTATGGGTGGTTGTGAGAGAAGACAAGGTGGATCACACACAGCAAGACCTGAGAAGCCCTGAACTCTTACGTGGATACTAATTTGCTGCTCCTGGCCCCATTCCTCCTTCTGTGCAACACCCAGCATCTACTTCATATTTGAATGTTTCTGCAGTGGCAGTTGTACAGGAAGAAATGGGGTCGGTCTCTCTGCTTATGGGAAAATCTCAAGAACTGATGTGAGCACCTACTGTATGCTCAGGGTTGCATGATGGATCACAGAAGCAAGAGTAGGGAAGACACCTGACATGCCATCAGTCTTGGGGACCTGCAACCTTGCCCGGGAAGAAAGACCAACGTTTGTGAAACAGGAACTCAGAAGAAGCCAGCCTTGCAGTCACTCCCCACCTATCCACAAGATCAGTGTCATGAGCATGCTGCAAAGACTTGCCAGTCAAGAGACTCAGAGGAACGCACCATCGATGTGACAAGGGGCTTTATTGGGGTCTACGTGATGGGAATGCAGCAGAGGAGTTAGGGTTCAGTTGTCTGTAGTGGTTAGAAATGGAGTCAAGATGCTAGAAACAAACCCAAAATACACACAGTGGAGGTGTGTTTTTATCTTTCTCCCATCAAGAGTGGGCCTTGGGCTGTACGGGGTGTTTGTGGCAGCTCCATGGCCACCAGAGAGTCAAGTTCCTTTTTGCTTTGCCACCTTTAGCATTTGCCTCCTGGCTGCAAGCTGGCTACTGGAATGCCAGATGTCACGTGCACATTCTGGAAGGGGGAAGGCACAGGGTTATGCCTAGAGGCCAAGTTTGGAAGTTTGCTTTTATTTGGAGGACTTTCTTAGAAGCTTCATTTGATGCTGACTTATGCTGACAATTCATGGAGTATCTCTGTGCTGGAAAGCCTAGGAAGGTGCTCTTGTGGCTGGATGCGTTTCTGCCTGTTGCTAAGAGAGGAAGGGAGAACAAATCATGGAGGGCAGCTGGCAGTTTCTGCCTTGCTTGCTCTCTACAGCGGCCCCTGCTGAGGTGTCAAACCCAGAGGACATGTATTTTCTAGATACGAAATCCTATGACCTTCTGGCTTATGGCTGCATTGGAATTGCCCAGGGAAGAATGAGCGGAAACCAGGCCCAAGGGTCCTCCACTTGCCATTTGTTTGGGCACCAGCTGGGTGTGCTTGTTGCCACTGGGGGCCCCTCTCAGCGAGCCTGGGGTGCCCCATGGCTGCGAGGGCCATAGGTTGACAAAGCCTGTAGGACTAAACTGGCCCTTGAAGCTTAAAAGAGAACCCTGTAAATGCCTGTCTATTAGAGGGGAAGAGAAAACCCATAAAATTAATAATTTGTCAGCCTAATTTGGAAAATTATTGGGACGTTTATGCACATAATTCTGGAGTCTGTCAGGACAGCACAGGAGCAGCAGGAAACACCCAGCTTTGGGAAGAATAAAGCTTCCGGCCAGCCCGCCTGATTCTTCCTCCTCCCTCCAGCCAAGCGGCAAGCCTGATCCATCAGGGGAAATGAGATGTAATTTGTCCTGACTTTAATAAGCTCTTCGGATTTAGCTCCTCTTGAGAAAGCATCAGAATGCCAGAGAGAGCTGGTGCCGCTCCCACCGCCATGACATGGTGGAGGGTCACTCTCAAAGAGAGCTCACGGATGTCACAGCCTTAGCCATGGGGACAGAGCCAGGCGCCCACAGGCAGCAGACCTGGGGACATGGGTAGGCATTAGCCCCCGGGGGGCACAGGTGGCCTGCCTGCTGCTGAGCACACAGGCTTGCTCTGGAGCATACTTACTTCCCAGAAGCTCCCAAAGGAA